GGCAATCCGTGGTTGAAACCACTGAGCTACGGACTACGGCAACGACCATCGTGAATAAGTTACTAGATGTGATATACCGCCGCTCAATATCCACTGACTTGCACGTGTACTACCGTGCAGAGGCACACGGTAGCAAGCCTTCACCAGTCCCCTCACCAGAGGCTACCCTGTCCTCTGCAAGGTAGTAACGTGTCAAGTCAGTGGATAGTGAGCGGCGCCATAACACATCTAGTAACTTATTCACCATGGTCGTTGCCTTCCCCCTAGCTCAATGGTCTCAACCACTTCATTCCACCTTACTCTCATCTTAACTATCCCATCCCTTTACTCTTTAATTCTCCATTATTATGATACCCTAAACTTCTTAACACATTCGTATAATTCTTTACTTTCTTATATCATTCTAATATATCTACCATCATTTACTAGTTATACCAATCCCTTCCTACCCCCCTACTCCTACACTTTCAATTACATAAATTACCTTCAACAAACCTTCTCCCCCTTTATCAATACCTCATCCCCCCCCTTAACCACTTTCCTTCCAAAAAATATCAACCCTATATTTCATTCACCATTACCACCCTCTCACACCTCATCCCTACCCACCATAATTTCCCATAATATAACATCATTACACCAAATCAAAATTTCCCAATAACCAAAATTCCTAACACCTCTTCACCTTATCAAATTATTACATATCACTAATCAACTCAATTACTCTTCTTACCCTCCCTACTTTTACCTAACATACCCCATATATACATCCTACTCATCATTTCCACCCTATCATTATAATTTTACACAATTCTCCTTTTTTACAAACAAATCTATCCTCCTTTCTCCCCCCCTCCACACCATTACCTCCTACACACCCCACATCTTACCATAACCCATCCATTTGTCTACCAAATCCACTCTTATCCCCCACCTCCATTTCCCATATCACACTCTTCTATTCTACCCTAACTAATATAACAAATTCACTCCACCCCCCCCACACCCCCCACCCCACCACCCTCACCCCAAATCCACCACCCTTACTCCAAACAATACCCAACACCCTCATAAAAATACATTATCCAACCCACCTTCATGATCCCCCATCTCAACCTATATTCCACCACAAAACCACAACACCACCCACCCAAAAAACCCCCACACACCCCCCCACCCCCCCCCCCCCACCCCCCCCCCCCCCCCCCACCCCCCCCCCCCCCCCCCCCACACCAACCCCAACCCCCCCCCCAAAAACACCCCCCCACAAAACACAAAACAAACCACCCCCCCCCCCCCCATCCCCCCACAATATAAATAAAATATATATTATATACCCCTTAAACATTATATATCCCCCCCCCCCCCCCCCCCCCCCCCCCCCCCCCCCCCCCCCCCCCCCCCCCCCCCCCCCCCCCCCCCTCATTCCCCCCCCCCTCCACCCCCCCTTTAGGATTATCCCATTTGCAACGAATACAGAAGCAGCACTTTGGGTCAACATCAAATCCACGGCGATGCCAAGCTTCCCGTATGTAACATAGTCCAATGCTAATGTTTTGCGCTGGACTAACTGGTCGAAACATTGTCGGACCATTTTCTTTTCCAATAATATGACTGGTGGCTTACTGTCTTAATATACTATTGTTATACTTTTCCTAGCATGGTCATACAAAGAAATGCTAAAGACCTTCTTACTTCCGCAGCCGCAGGCTGAGGGTTTTCCAGCATCATTTAGTGGCAACTTGATGACGCAAAGGCCCATTATTAACAAACTGTGCGGGCTTATCTAAAAGAGGTTTTCGGTTACCAATGCATCGTTCGCAGAGGTCAAATGGAGAAGACGGCCCTGTCAAGATTTTGAAACAATTACTTTGCATCCCATGATATTATTTGAAAAGAGTTTTCAAGACAACGCATATTTTACTGGCTCAACTGAAGCAAGTTATTGTCACCGAATGTTGCACTATCAACACGCAAAGTTTACAAATGATTCTGGCCAACTGCCACAGGCACCACATGTGCCGGTAGGCACGTTGTGCATCTTCTTCGTTTTAGGATATAACAACCATGCATGTTGTTCACGTTAATATAATTATGCACCGTCATTACTGATTTCTAAACTATGTTGGTGCACGGGTACTTGGTGCAAAAGGGTGTCGGACCAAAATGAATTCATCGTGCTCTGCTAATTCGACAGCGCTATTAGTGACCACTACTGTGCAACTGGTTCACAATGCCAACACTTGCCTTTTATGATTATGCTTAAGAAATACGAGGAGAATGTTATCGCGATGGTACTTAAAGGTTTCAAAGAGATCTCTTTTCGGCAATTCACATCAGGCAAATACAAATGTAAAATGCATTAGTAAACTGGTGCAAGTAACAAAGAGGACGGATGGGACGATTTGAACAATTGTAGTATATTCATTTGATGCTCGAATCGATTTAATCAGGTGACGTCGTGATCCGGCTAACCGACAGCTAAATAACTTGTGTAAACAGAAAGGGCAAAATTACTACCCAAATAAAATTAGTTAATTACGCAAATGAATAGCACCCGGTTAAGCGAGATACTCCGGGGAACCTTATCATCAGGGCCATGGCAAAGTCAAGGGTTGCACGAGCACCCTATGCTTGCATAGCTCTGGTTGTGTTAGCCTGCTCGCGATGGTTTCAGCTGTCTGCAGGAGGCGTTTCCCTAGCCCTTTCGGGTATCGCCTCGGTACGGCATAATAGACTTTGAAAGCATCTTTTGTCAGAATCTGATGCCCACTAAGAATCAGATGCTCCATAATTGAGCTGTTGATACTTCTGTGCATGCCTCTCTGCAATGACCCAGGGTCATTGCGGAGCATCTGATTCTTAGTGGGCATCAGATTCTGACAAAAGATGCTTTCAAAGTCTATTATGCCGTACCGAGGCGATACCCGAAAGGGCTAAGGAAACGCCTCCTGCAGACAGCTGAAACCATCGCGAGCAGGCTAACACAACCAGAGCTATGCAAGCATAGGGTGCTCGTGCAACCCTTGACTTTGCCATGGCCCTGATGATAAGGTTCCCCGGAGTATCTCGCTTAACCGGGTGCTATTCATTTGCGTAATTAACTAATTTTATTTGGGTAGTAATTTTGCCCTTTCTGTTTACACAAGTTATTTAGCTGTCGGTTAGCCGGATCACGACGTCACCTGATTAAATCGATTCGAGCATCAAATGAATATACTACAATTGTTCAAATCGTCCCATCCGTCCTCTTTGTTACTTGCACCAGTTTACTAATGCATTTTACATTTGTATTTGCCTGATGTGAATTGCCGAAAAGAGATCTCTTTGAAACCTTTAAGTACCATCGCGATAACATTCTCCTCGTATTTCTTAAGCATAATCATAAAAGGCAAGTGTTGGCATTGTGAACCAGTTGCACAGTAGTGGTCACTAATAGCGCTGTCGAATTAGCAGAGCACGATGAATTCATTTTGGTCCGACACCCTTTTGCACCAAGTACCCGTGCACCAACATAGTTTAGAAATCAGTAATGACGGTGCATAATTATATTAACGTGAACAACATGCATGGTTGTTATATCCTAAAACGAAGAAGATGCACAACGTGCCTACCGGCACATGTGGTGCCTGTGGCAGTTGGCCAGAATCATTTGTAAACTTTGCGTGTTGATAGTGCAACATTCGGTGACAATAACTTGCTTCAGTTGAGCCAGTAAAATATGCGTTGTCTTGAAAACTCTTTTCAAATAATATCATGGGATGCAAAGTAATTGTTTCAAAATCTTGACAGGGCCGTCTTCTCCATTTGACCTCTGCGAACGATGCATTGGTAACCGAAAACCTCTTTTAGATAAGCCCGCACAGTTTGTTAATAATGGGCCTTTGCGTCATCAAGTTGCCACTAAATGATGCTGGAAAACCCTCAGCCTGCGGCTGCGGAAGTAAGAAGGTCTTTAGCATTTCTTTGTATGACCATGCTAGGAAAAGTATGACAATAGTATATTAAGACAGTAAGCCACCAGTCATATTATTGGAAAAGAAAATGGTCCGACAATGTTTCGACCAGTTAGTCCAGCGCAAAACATTAGCATTGGACTATGTTACATACGGGAAGCTTGGCATCGCCGTGGATTTGATGTTGACCCAAAGTGCTGCTTCTGTATTCGTTGCAAATGGGATAATGCCTCAGCAGTAATAATAATGGAGTGTATAGCCACATTATTCAAGAACCAGCTACAAAGTACAAGCCGACACTGCAGGTCGCATGGGTTCCACATATGTACTTGACGTGCACCATACAGACGAAATTTTCCATTTACAAAAGAATTCACTGAACTGCGTTACGGGTGGTGTCAAAATTTCGGGCGATTGTACGGCTGCTAAGAAATGTCAATATGGTCAATTCGCAAACAACAGCACTAACTATACTCCACTCCGTCGTGGTTCGGAGTTGTCCCGTATTTCGGGAGTTGTTCACCCTGCCAGAGTTTTCAAATTACTTCGCCAGTTTTAACATTACCGGCTGTTTAGTTGTCGTATTTCCGAGGTTATGCTGTTGTGTCGTCTTGCTGTCTCGGCTGTATAAATCCCGCACTTCGCATATAGTCAACTAATCAGCACGTGATGACCATCAGCGACTTGCAGTAACTCAGGTTACATAAATTTCACCGACGTGGCTTTATCCTCATCTTCCACAGCTGAAACAACGATCACATTAAGAACAAAAGCACCGTGTGCCTATGATTACTTGCCAAATGTAACAGATGCCCAAAAGCATTTTAGACCTGTCTGTACACAACTAGGTGCCCAACTTGTGTACTGTGCATCGTTGATCTATGGATTACCAGTTATCAGAGCCCACACCTTGAAGCACAAAATATTCCTGCCCGAGGTAGACAGGTGTGTGGCTTGCGGTCAAGCACACGGTTTCGAATGGATAGCCTGACAAATAATGTAAATTACAGAGAAGTAGTAGGGGGGTTGAATGGTATAGGTAGAAACTCGTCACATCTGGACTCACTCAGACAGCCATCACACGCCCGGAAAAGCAATCTACGCCTGTTTCATCCTTTCGGGAATCCTCAACATTGCGCATTCCATCGGACCCTGGCAGGGCTCGAACCCGCAGCTCGACTGTTGCCAGTCCGTGTTTGAGACCATTGAGCTAGGGGGGAAGGCAACGACCATGGTGAATAAGTTACTAGATGTGTTATGGCGCCGCTCACTATCCACTGACTTGCACGTTACTACCTTGCAGAGGACAGGGTAGCCTCTTGTGAGGGGACTGGTGATGGCGCTACCGTGTCCTCTGCACGGTAGTAACGTGCAAGTCAGTGGATATTGAGCGGCGGTATATCACATCTAGTAACTTATTCACGATGGTCGTTGCCGTAGTCCGTAGCTCAGTGGTTTCAACCACGGATTGCCAACAGTCGAGC